ACGAGGAAAAGTACTTTTTCCTCGTAATCTCCTCGTAAATGTACTAAGGCCTTACGAGGAAAGTGTTTCCTCGTAAGTTTTCGAGGAACTTACGAGGAAATTTGCTTTCCTCGTAAGATCCTAGTAAAGGCTTAGTAAATTTACGAGGAAGAATTTTCCTAGTAAAATTTCCTAGTAAATGCTTTGTTTTCTTGTAGTGGTCTCTGCAAAATCCGGTAAAGTCAAGACAGGAGTGTTACTCATCGCTTGAATAAGAAGGTCAAATTCTTCTTGAGCTTCTGGAGACCATACAAACTTGTCCTTCTTGAGTAGTGACGTCAAAGGTTTAGCCAAGGATCCATATCCTCTGACAAAGCGTCAATAATACCCAGTAAGTCCAAGAAATCCTCTCAAATCTTAACAGATTTTGGAGTTGGCCAATTCCGCATAGCAACTGTCTTCTTGGCATCCGTTGCAACCCCCTCTCTAGAAATGATATGCCCCAAATATTCAACCTGTGGCATGCCAAAGGAACACTTCTTCCTGTTTGCATATAACGTACGTTGTCTCAAGATATTTAACGCCGTGCAAAGATGTTCCACATGTACCTCCAAGGATGAGCTATAGATGAGTATATCATCAAAGAAAACCAGTATGAATTTTCTGAGAAAAGGACGAAAAATCTCATTCATAAGAGTCTGGAATGTAGCATGAGCGTTGGTAAGCCCAAATGGCATCACTAAAAACTCGTAGTGGCCATCATGAGTTCGAAAGGCTGTCTTTTCCACATCTTGCTCCAACATCCGTATCTGATGGTACCCGGAATGTAAATCCAACTTAGAATACACAGCTGCTCCATTCAATTCATCCAACAACTGATCTATGACTGGAATAGGAAAACGATCAGCCACTATTGCACGATTTAAGTGCTCTGTAATCCACACAAAACCTCCAGGTATCATCTTTTTTTTTCTCACCAACAATACTGGACTCGAGTATGGGCTATGACTCGTCTGATAATTCCCGTATCTAACATCTCCTTAACTTGCTTCTCCATCTCTTCTTTCTGCACATGAGGATAACGGTACGGTCGAACATTGATTGGACCTGAACCAGGAAGCAATGTGATAGAGTGCTCCCTATTACGTATAGGAGGCAACGTCGACGGATTAGCAAACACATCCTCAAAGTCTACTAATATTTTCTGTATCACTGGAGGAGTCACTACTGCTAGCTGTGAAAGTTCCGTTGACATTGATAACTCTTGAGACGTCGGAGCTAAGGACCTCAATGATAGTTTTGCTCCATGAAGCGTTGGATCACCACATAAAGTGACCCTCTTGTCTTTATAGATGAAGGACATTTCATGAGTATCCCAATTCATTTGGCAATCTCCCAGTGTACGCAACCACTTAACTCCAAGAATGACATCCGCAGTGCCCAACTCCATCACAATAAAGTCAGTGGTGAACTCCATATGACCAATATGAAATGTTACTTTTCTACATATTCCCAAGCCCGAAACCAATATACCGGTTCCCAATCTTATCTGCAAGTCTTCTTGTGCTGTTACCTTCAGATGTGCTTTCAAAACAGCTGCCGGAGTTATAAAATTGTGTGTAGCTCCACTATCCAACATCACAATTAACTCTGCTTTTCCCACTTCTCCTCGAACTTTTGTCGTAGTCAAGGATGGCACTCCCATGAAAGCACTAACAGATAACTCCATTAACTCTGTCACCACTCCATTTTCGTCTTGAAATGTATCAAAAAATTCTTCCTCCACTAACTCCACTTGACAGCCTTCGAGTACTGTCAATACTTGTAACTTTTTGTTAGCACACACATGACCATAAATGTGTTTCTCACTACACTTGTAACACAATTTGTTCTTTCTGTGAAACTCATATTCAGCCGGTGTAAGGTGTCTCCTTTTCTTTATTGGCTGGAGGTGGTTGTGTTATCTGTGGCCGTTGTGGTGCCTTCTCTCCAGTATTACCTTCCAACAAAAGTGGTTTTGTCTTCCAAGCCCCAGAGCTATTATACTGAGAAGAAGAACACAAAGGAGCATACGAAGATGACCTCTGGTTCTTGGTATCTCCCGTTTTAAAACCTCCCATTGATCTGCATAAAAGACCGTCCTCCATTTCAAGCACCGTCTCAATCATATGTGTCAGATCACGTGGTTCTTTCATCCTAACAATCTCACGCAACTCTCGTTTCAACCTTCTTTTAAAAATGGCTTCCAACATCTCATCATCCACTCCTGATATCTGAGATGCCAATTCTTCAAACTCTTGTACGTACATTGCTGCGGACCCCGTCTGTTGTAAACCAGCCAATATATCCTTCGGTGTCCGCGTCTGAGCACTCCCAAAACGTTTCAGAATCCTCTTCTTCAATAACAGCCAACTACCAAACGAAACGTGTCTCTTTTCCCAATTGAACCAACTCAATACTGGACCTTCCAAACTCATCGATACCAGCTCAAGTTTCTGCGCATCCGTGAATTTACCGTGGCGAAAGAAACCCTCACAACGAGCGATCCAACCGTGAGGATTCTTTCCATCAAACACCAGCATATCCAATTTCTTCATCACACTCTTCTTATCAGGCATCAACTCAGATAAATCGCGTGATTGCGATGCAAAGTTGTTAACCCTAGGTTCCGATGAAGAAGCGTTTACCTGTATCGGTTGTTTTTCTTGATTCCGTCCGGTAAAACCTTCCTCCGTCGACATCAGAATCTTTTCTTGAACCATCCGCATCAAATTCACCATCGTCGCATGAATCGTAGCTTGCTGGTGAGCTAACGCCTCCACTGACTCGGCCAACTTATCCACTCGAATCGAAGAATCCGCTACCGAATCATTCAACTCTTCGCAATCTCTCTTCAAGATCGTTCGACATCGCGCTGAAATTTCGATCTAATCGTCACCGCACCAATTTGATAGGAACTGATGTATTATATTGATAATCTCAAACTATTGTAGTTTACAATCCTCTCACGAGCATAATCGCAAATCTACAAAGTTCCCTCTCTCTCTCACTTCAATACAAATTCGTTATCCTTTACAAAGTACTTCTCTCTTTGTTTATACTATTCAATAATACTGATAACGGCAAAGCCTCTGCTTCATTCCAAGTCTTTGCTTTGCACCTGAACGTTATCCTCCTTCATGTGTTTAACTCCTCTTCTCTTCCTCTTATACACTCTCCAAGGCCTATCATAATGTGAAGGTTAGTTCAACATAGTTTTATTAATTTATTATCAATTCTGGAGATGACAGTCACTTGTTGAGGTTGTTTCTGCTGTAGATATGGGCTACTACTGAAGGTGGAAATTTGGAAGTGACATACACTGACAAAGAAGAATATGTAAACTTCCTTAACGTTTTTCATAAAATGTTATTTTTCTTTGGGTTCAATATATACATGTAACCAGGTCCTGCAAGTAACTAATGATTTTTCAGTGGTTTATTGGATTCAGGGCGTGCTAGCTCTCTGTGGGGTGCATGATGCAGAAGCCAAGCCGGTATTGCTATGCTCCTGCAACGACAATACGTTGCACGCACCTCTATGACTTACCATCGTAAGTCCTACCATTGATTTGTATTTGTATGTTTAATATGTTTTATATCATTTTTAATAATTTTTTATGTATGTTTTTATTTTAAATCATTCTATTAAAAAAATAAAACAAAATTAAGAACTCCTATGAGAGTTCTCCCCAATGGAGAAGGTAAAATTAATTTTCACTAACTAAGATTCTTAACTAATCAAATCACCTTATAAATCACTAATTTAATCATTTGCTAATGGATGGAGGTGCTCAAAGGAGTGGTCTTGATCACCTTTGCAGTTATCTACAATTAAGTTGATTTGTTAGTATAATTTTAGGTATAGGAATGCATATAAACAACTGTTGAAAATTTAAATCGCCGTAATGAAATAAAACATCAAATGTAGAAGGAGGATGCATGTACTATACCGTTTTAGTAAAATAGAATTATAGTATAGTATGTGATAGGTAATACATATCTATTTATGTTAAGGTACTATACTATTTAAAATATAGTATATAATGAGTTATTATTAGGTTCATTATGACATAAATTTAGTTATAATGTATTATTCTATCTATTGTATGATATAATATATTTTTACTTTAAGACGTAACAGAAAAGAAGAGTTATGATTACAAAGATGAGCCTACATAAAAGTATAAATAGAATAAAACATAATAGATAGTATAGTACGAAGTAATAAAATTACTATATTATATTATATAACAAATAGTATAAACTAATATTAGTCATGTTTCTTGGATGTAATTGTGGTTATGGAAAAGCGACGGATGGTGATAGGGGGTAAACCGCAGTGGTGTAAGCACCCCAATGGCATTGAAAGTATATATGAAGAGTTGATGGTCAATATAGAAGAAACGACAGTGGATGTGAAATATATAGTACATCTTACAGATTTGATGGTGGTAATTGGGGTAACTGTAGCGGTGATTACTATGATGGAGGTTATTACAGAGTATGTGGCGGTAGTGGATATGGCACAGACGGTGGCCTTTCATTGCATAAGTTATTGTCATCGTGGTTGTAACCGTGGAGATAACTACAGCGATGTAGTGTGGAGTGGTAGGAAGTTGTTGAGGAAAATAATTATTAAGAATTCTTTTATAGTTTACCAGTAGAAATAAAACCAAAACAGAAGAAATAAATAAGTTAGAAGAGTAATATAGTAGGTATTGTAGTAATGTCAAAGTCATTTTATTCTTTTAGCTAGATACTTAATTATAGTTTATTTTTTAGCTACTGCATCCAATTTCTCATATTAAGATTCATACCAAAAAATTTCAAGTTTTTTTACAAAATTGTTGCAAGCAACTTATTTGTAGAAGACAACAAAAAGGTTACAGAGGGAGAGAATAGAGGCTAGAAATGATTACACAAAAAACAACTGCTGGCTGTAGGGGTCGATGAACCAGAAGTATAACTAAAGGAGAGAGCAAACTTGATTCAGCATTGTCGGCTGAGTAAACGGTCTCAAATGGCACGGTCCATAGACACAAATAGAACCTCCTCTGAACTACACACTCCTTTAAAGATTCTAGTTTTTCTTTTCCTCTACAGAGTGTAGACAAAGAAAGACCTATAACATAAGCTTGAAAACTATTATGACATCGGGTGAGTGATCATCATGCAGCCGATGACAAAAGACCACTGAACATGAGTGTCATGGATTTTATTCATTTTTAGCCACGGTAAATAAGTGTTTTAATATCTAACTATTATGTTTAGAGTCTGTTTAGCATATTTATGTTTTAGATTCTGTTTAGCATATATTGTCTTTCCTGAAACAGAACATCAAAACATTTGCATGGTCGGCCGCAGATATGCCTGAGATCGACACATCGCAATAGCATCCCACCATTTAAAGGTCGATCCTCTACACAGACAAGTCTAGCAAAAATGGAGAAAATTAGGTCCTGAACGTTTGAAGGCTGTGAACGACGAGGTCGACAAGGTGCTAAAAATCGATTCCATCCGCGAAGTCCAGTATCCCGATAGGCTCACCAACACCGTCGTGGTAAAAAAGAAGAACGGAAAATGGAGAATTTGTATAAATTTTACCGATCTCAATAAAACCTATCCGAAAGACAGCTTCCCAGTGCCACATATTGACCGTCTGGTAGAAGCCACAGCCGGGCACAAATTACTATCATTCATGGATGCCTTCTCCAGCTACAACCAGATCCTCATGAACCCCGAAGACAAGAAGAAAACAAGTTTTATCACCGAACGTGGCACTTATTGTTATAAAGTAATGCTTTCCGGACTAAAGAACGCAGAAGCTACCTATCACCGATTAGTGAACAAAATGTTCACCGACCAGCTCGGTAGAAAATTGGAGGTTTACATAGACGACATGCTCGTCAAGTCATCAAAAGCAAGCGACCACGTTTGTGAACTCCAGGAATGATTCAACATCCTTAGCAAGTTTGGAATGAAACTAAGCCCGACCAAGTGCACTTTCGGGGTAGCTTCGGGAGAATTCCTCAAATATCTGATGACATAAAGGGGAATCGAAGCTAATCCGAAACAGATCAAGCGCGCGTAGACACTCTACAGACAAAGTCGATCCGAGAAGTACAACGACTCACTGGAAAGATTGCAGCGTTAAATCGTTTTATCTCGAGGTCGACCGATAGATCCCTTCCATTCTACAAGCTCCTGAAAGGGACAGAAAGTTCAAATGGAGCGGAGAGTGCGACGTCGTGCTAAAAGAACTCAAAGCATACTTAAGACAACCTCAATTTTTATTAAAACCAATCTAAGGCGAAACGTTGTTCCTATACGTAGCTACTTCAGAGCACGCGGTCAGCTGCAAGAAAGTTAAGAACATAGTTCCAATCTCATTCGATCACAGTGAAGACATCTCAGCCATTACGGACCGTTCTTCACAGTCCCAGAAAATCAGGGAGACTGGCAAAATGGGTGATTGAACTCAGTGTACGATATTGAATATAAAGCCCGAACGAGTTCGAAGGCCCAAGTTCTAGCAGACTTTGTCATCGAGCTCATTCCCAAAAACACCGATTCGAACTCTAGCTCAAAGAATTGTAAATTACACGTTGATGGAGCGTCCTCAAAAAAGGGGTCGGGGATCAGAATACAGCTCGAATCCCCAACCGGAGAAATAATCGAACCATCATTCCGTCTGGGATTTAATGCCTCGAGTAACGAAGCCGAGTATGAATCCCTGATTGCCGGATTACAACTCGCTTGAAGCATTAGCGTCCAAGAAGTAAGTGCCTTCAGCGACTCACAATTGGGCACGAGCCAATTCTACAGAGAATACAAAGCGATAAACAAAAGGATGGAAATCTATCTCGCAGTCTTGCGAGAAATCACAGAGCAGTTCGATAAATTCGAACTCACGAAATACCTCGAGGCGAAAACATATCGATAGATGCCCTCACCTCGCTGCATCGACCTACAATCCCGCACTTAAATGAATAATACCAGTAGAAGGAATAAAAAAATTGAGTATTGATATTCCATGCAAAGAAAGCAACTCGCCGGAGGGTAGCCACCACTAAATAGGAATGACTATTACTAGAAGCAGGGCCCAGAATGTAACTCAGGACGCCACCGACGAAATATTTTAAGACAAAGGAATCGCCGACGTCCCCCATTACGAGGACGTCGAAACGTTAGTGAGGCCTACGAGAAGTCGTACATTGCGCCCTCAACGAGAAGGACAAGGGCTTCATCAACCCACCTCGAAGAAGCCGACCACAAGCCCGATGCAGAGGCGCA